CTTTCTTGTCTCCTTGGTCGTTTCCTCCTGTACACCTCACCTCTCCAGTGTTGGCATACCTCAGAGCACAATGTTTGCTCTTCTTCTCTATTCACTTATTTTGTAATCTCAATCCTATGGCTTTAAAAGCATATGCTGATTACAACATTCCACATAGACACGATCAAGCACGAATCCCAGTAGCACCAGATGAACAAAGTAGACCAGGTTGGTACTGCAAAATCTGGAACTTAACTGCCAGGAAAGGGAGCCCAAAATATTATAGTAGGTTACTACCTACAAGTTAAACATGATGACATCCTGCTAAAGTATAAGACTTAAATAGGATATAATTTCCTAATGTCATATGTAAAATGTTCAAGATACAGTAAAAATTCCATTGTTTTGACAAGAACCAGGAAAATAACTTTCTACAGTTTGGATATTTGACCCTCCTAACCTCATGTGAAATCTGACCCCGAATGTTGGAGGGAGGTCTGGTGGGAGGTGTTTGGGTCATGGGGACAGATCCCTCATGAATGGCTTGGTGCGGTCCTCATGGTAATGAGTGAGTTCTCACTCTATTAGTTCCCTTGAGAGCTGGTTGTCAAAAAGAGCCTGGCACCTCCCTCCCCTCTCTCTTGCCATGCGATCTCTGCACATGCTGGCTCCCTTTTGCCTTTTGCCACAAGTGGAAGCAGCCCGAGACCCACACCAGAAGCAGATGCTGGCGCCGTGCTTCATAGTATGCACAGACTGCAGAACCATGAGCCAAAAGAAAATTCCTTTCTTTATAAATTACCCAGGCTCTGGTATTCCTTTATAACAGCAGTGATCCCCAAACTTTCTGGCACCAGGAACCAGTTTCATGGCAGATAATTTTTCCACAGATGGTGGGGTGGGGGTGGGGTAGCAGTTTGGGGATGAAACTGTTGCACCTTAGATCATCAGACATTAGATTCTCATAAGGAGCGTGCAACCTAAATCCCTTGCATGTGCAGTTCACGACAGACTTCGTGCTCCTATGAGAATCTAATGCCACCTCTGATCTGACAGGAGGCGGAGCTCAGGCAGTAATGCTCACTCACCTGCTGCTCACCTCCTGCTGTGCCACCCAGTTCCTAATATGCCACAGACCAGTACCAGTCCGTGGCCCAAAGGTTGGGAACATCTGCTTTCTAGCAACACAAATGGACTAAGACAAACTTGAATTTTAAAAAGGCTATGGAGAGATGCTAACACAGAGATAAACCAGAGATTAGAATTACCTGACAAAGACCTCAAAGGAAACATAAAAATACTCCAAACAACAATAGATTTTCTTGAAACAAATGGAAAATGAGAAAACTTCATGAAAGACATAGAAGATATAAAGAACCAAAACCAAAGGGTCATATCAGTGACATGCTGGTACCTCCAAAAATCCTTTCTCCACAAAAACAATGAGGACGTTTGTAAACAATTTTAGAACTCTGAAAATTAAGCAAATGCTTGCAACAATGTGTGCAGTATTTACCTAAGAAAAATGCCTAAATCTCAGGAAGAACAGTTAGCTTGATGGCATTTTTATTTTGCCACATTCACACCCCTCCACTCAAGCTCTATAACAACCATGAAAACCAACAGCCTGCAAACGATATAAAGTCTGGCACCAACTAGAGAGGGTAGAGGGGTTGGAGCTCTTTAAAATCACATTCTGTGAGAATGACCATCATTTCACCAGTCTGGTAGTTCCTGAAAGATGCTATTCTTAAAGCTGTCTTTAGTTTACCTGACTTCGAGCTCAACTAGTGTGAACAGACTTCTCTTAGAAGGTGTTTGTAAAAAAAAAAAAAAAAATCAGAGGTAATTGTTTAACATGATTGCCTGGTGTGGTATATGGGAATAAGGTGTCTTTACAGGACTCTGAAAACCTCAAATATATTCCTGAGAATTTAGAAAGTCATGGAAATAAGTAGAACTGTGTGCATGCCCAGAGCAATGTATATGCCCAAGAAAAACCTGAGAAGGCCCCTAAATTCTCACTGACGACAAATCTTGAAGCTCTGAGCAAGCGAGAAGTGAAGGCTACATGGAGCTGTAAATTGCAAGGCTGAATGTTGAAAGCATGCCCAAAAATGCAAGCAGTGCCTCTCAACAAAGCTGGCAGATTTGTTGGTTTCAGGTTTTAAAGAAACCTCTGTTCAATAAAAGGAAAAATAGTCCAACTAAAAAATGAGCAAAGGATTTGAACAAACATTTCTCCAAAAAGATATATAAATGACCAATAAACATTTGAAAAGAGGCTCAACAGAGTAAGTTATTAGGGAAATGAAAATCAAAACCACATTGAGAGGCCGAGGCGGGTGCATCACCTGAGGTCAGGAGTTCCAAGACCAGCCTGACCAACATGGAGAAACCCCACCTCCACTAAAAATGCAAAATTATGCAGCCATCAAAAACGATGAGTTCGTGTCCTTTGTAGGGACATGGATGAACCTGGAAACCATCATTCTCAGCAAACTGACACAAAAACAGAAAATCAAACACTGCATGTTCTCACTCATACGCAGGTGTTGAACAATGAGAACACATGGACACAGGGAGGGGAGCATCACACACTGGAGTCTGTTGGGGGGAAATAGGGGAGGGACAGCGGGGTAAGGAGTTGGGGAGAGATAGCATGGGGAGAAATGCCAGATATAGGTGATGGGGAGGAAGGCAGCACATCACACTGCGATGTGTGTACCTATGCAACAATCATGCATGTTCTTCACATGTACCCCAAAACCTAAAATGCAATGAAAAAAAAAAAAGAAAAAAAAAGAAAGTACCAGACTAAGGCATCCTCCAGAAACCAACACAGAGATAAAACCAATGTTTCTCAAGAACACTGGAAACAACCTAATAGCCCAATATTATGTGATGTTTTAAGTAAATTATGGGACCCCCAGATAATAGGAATATTTGCAGCCATTAAAATCTATGGTTTATAAAAATATTTAATAACATGGAAAAATGCTCAAATTGTAACAAAATTAGCCAGCATGGTGGCACATGCCTGTAATCCCAGCTACGTGGGAGGCTGAGGCAGGAGAATTGCTTGAACCCAGGAGGCAAAGGTTGCAGTGAGGCAAGATCACACCATTGCACTCCAGCCTGGGCAACAAGACCAAAACTCTGTCTCAAAAAACAAACAAACAAACAAAAAACACAATGATATCACTTCACACCTTCTAGAAAGGGTAATAACTAAAAAGATGGACAATAACAAGTGTTGGCGAGGAGGCAGAAAAATCGAAAATCATATATTGCTAGTGGGAATGCAAAAGAATGCAGCCACTTCGGAAAACACCTGGCACGTTCTAAAAAGTTAACAGAGTTACCATATGACCTGGCAATTCCACGTCCAGGGATATTTCCTACCCAAGAGAAATGAAAACATACTTTCACACAAAGCATGTAGATAAATGGTCATAGCAGCATTATTCATAATATAAAAACAGAAACAACCCAAATGTTCATCAATTGATAAATAAAATATATCCAAACAATGGAATTATATCTATCAAAAGGAAAGAAATATTGATATATGTTACAGTGTGAGTGAACCTTAAAAACTTTCTAAGTGGAAGAATCCAGTCACTAAAACCCCACATGTTGTATTAGTGTATTAATATGAAATGTGCAGAATAAGCAAATTTACAAGTAGAAGATTAGTGGTTTCCCAGGCCAGAATAAGAGGTAGGGAGAAATGGGAAGTGACTACTATTAGTTATGATGGTTTTTTTGGGGTGACGAAAATGTGCTAAAATTGTAATGATGGCTCCAACTAAGAATGTACTACCATATGAACATTTTAGTATACTAATATAAAATTTGCTAAAAACAACAAACTTAATACTTTTTTTTTGAGAGACAGGGGTCTTGCTATGTTGCCCAGGCTGGTCTAGAACTCCTGACCTCAAGCAATCCTCCTGTCTTGGCTTCTCCTAACGCTGGGATTACAGGTGTGAGCCATCGTGCTCGGCCAGGATACTTTAGATAGGTGAATCTTCCTAAAATCCAGATTTGATGAATCTGGATTTTTAAAAAATGTGTTAAATACCCGTTACCTTTTTAAGGTCACTTCTTTTTAGTCTGCTTAAATGGAAAAGCTGGTAATTTCACCTGTGCCAATATTCATACAAAATAAAAATCTGTTCTGTATTTAAAAGAAAGCAGCTTTTGTTCATATGCTTTAATTGTTTCACTTACTAACACATCAAGACTTGCTGAAGCAAAATAACCTGCCCATGATCAAAAAGCAAATAGAGTCATCTGGATTTCAACTCTGGTTGTCTTAAGCTAGCCTTGGCCTGCATTTTCAAGACATCCTTAGGGAACTCAGTGTGGAATTGGATGCAACCATATAAACACTGAAGCTGTTTTCAATGTGCTTTACAAAGTATAACACTGCAACCATTCTGGCTACGATGTGGCAGGCACCAGACTCAACACTTGATTCACAAGGTCTTATTTAGGTCATCACAACTCTAAGAATTAAGCTAATTCACAAACTAGTAGATGAAACGATACCAGGAATTGGTACGGTTAAATGGAATACATCTAGTCCCAATGATCCACAGTATCGTCAAAACATAGCTAAGGTGGGGGCGAGGAAGCAAGCATAGTAATCATCCAGACTTGGCTTAAACTGTGGTTCTGACTGAATTCTCTGAGCTTCAATTTACTTAACTGTGAATCAAGGGTAGTAACAATGATCGCGTTCATTGGGAAATGAACGCATTGGATGGGAAAGATCCCACGTTCACAAGCGGATAAATCCTAATAAACCCGAGATCCAACCAGGAGCGGGCGACGGCGGCGGGGAGGTGGGGGGTGGGGGTAGGAAAAGACTGGTAGAAGAGCTTTTAGGAAAGCTCTCAGCCTGTCCTTCCTAGCCCGAGTGCCAGCCCTCAACCTCGCATTTTACAGATTCCCTCCCAGGTCCTGATCCTGCTGAAAAGCAGGGTCCCACACCTCCCGGAATTCCTCCTCACTCTATTCACCAACATAGGGACTCCGTAGCGGAGAGTCTTGTTCTTGCGCAAAGCACGTATCACCGCGGGTGCAAACATGACTGAACTTTTCCATCCACTAAGAGCCCCAAGCGGGCCCAGCGCAGACTCCGAAATCTCAGCGGCCCAAGCTCTCACCAAGACGAGCACGACCTGGACTCACTTCCTGTCCTTGGTCGTTTGGTGCTCGGACCTCACGGTTTGGTTTCCGCCAGGCAAAAGCAATCGAGCCATCGTAACAAACTTGTGTGTCCGCCCAGAAATACGGGAGTCAGCGTTCTTGGTTCCGTAACGTTGGCGTGCAATTGGGATTCAGAGATTGTAATCAGTTCAGGACCACCGTCAAATTGATATAGAAACCAGTATTTCCCATGTTCTGGGTCCCGACTAACGTCTTCTTAGAACACTCTCTTAGGCATATAGTAACTCGATAAAATCAGCTAAGGAAAAAAGTATTTCGAAGCTAGTATTCCAGTCTCTGGCAATTTGTGGGATGAGGAATTTACCAGTTTTATGGAGACTTTTAAATCGCTAGAAAGATTAGGTTGAAATGTAATCAGTGTAGGCCGGGCGCGGTGGCTCAAGCCTATAATCCCAGCACTTTGGGAGGCCGAGGCAGGTGGATCACGAGGTCAAGAGATCGAAACCATCCTGGTCAACAAGGTGAAACCCCCTTCTCTACTAAAAATACAAAAATTAGCTGGGCATGGTGGTGCACGCCTATAGTCCCAGCTACTCGGAAGGCTGAGGCAGGAGAATTGCTTGAACCCAGAAGGCGGAGGCTGCGGTGAGCCAAGATCGTGCCATTGCATTCCAGTCTGGGTAACAACAGCGAAACTCCGTCTCAAAAAAAAAAAAGAAAAAAGAAAGAAATGTAATCAGTGTAGTGTTTTATCAGTCATTACTTAACCTTTAACGCTAATGATTTTACTACAAGTTAACCTATAATCTTTAGCCATTTATGAATGTCCATTTTCCAATGATTCAGCAACCATACAGGTAACCTTTTGGCATGTCATTGAAAGGATTCCAGGAACACTGAGATAAAAATATATGAGCCTTACCTTAAAGACACTGGCGATTTCACGGGCACAGAAAAAAATGTGTCTGAAGTACTGTGATAACAGGAAACTGATCTCCCATGTGTCCCTTTTGCCAGAGTGAATCAGAGTCCAGGTAATGCGGAATATTATCTTCCATGCTCTTCCTGAAATCTTTCCATCTGTCCCTGCCTCTCTGTTACCACTGAAATGTTCCTTTCTTAATTCCTTATCATCTTTTCACCTATTAAAGTAGCCCTCTAAGTGGTCTCCAGAGGAGGAACTCCAGATCTACTGCAGGCTACTCCAATGAAACTTACCCTTTTGGCTAAGATCAAGTGTAGTATCTGTTCTTATCAGTTTAATATCTGACACATCCTCTATCCAAGGAAAACATATTAAATGGAGGGTTTTTTTTTTTTTTTTGAGACAGAAAAATGGGTTTTTGAAGCAGGGAAATGGAATAGGAGTTTGCTCCAGCCACTCTACACATCAACCTGTATTTCAGTACCTCCAGAAACCCAGGAATGGTGCATCTTTCCCTCCTTATTCACTTCCCTTTGATATTTCAAAATTCATACAGACCAGTCATGGTGGTTCACACCTGTAATACCTGCACTTTGGGAAGCTGAGGCTGGAGGGTCGTTTGAGCACAGAAGTTCAAGAGCAGCCTGAGCAACAAAGTAAGACCCCATCTTTATAAATAATAATTTAAAAAATTAGCCAGGCATAGTAGTGCATGCCTGTAGTCTCAGCTTCTTGGAAAGCTGAGGTGCGAAGATCACTTGAGCCCAGGAGGTCCAGGCTGCAGTGAGCCATGATCATGCCACTGCACTGCAGCCTAGGTGACAGAACTAGACCCTGTTTCAAAAAAAATAAATAAACCTCATGTGGCATCCAGGTTAGTTAATTGTATCACATCTCCTACTTTCCCTAAGATCCTAGAAGCCAAAGGTACTGCTCTAAAACTCTAGACATTTTCCTACATCTTCACTACATAAAACATCAGCCTACTGGATACTGCCCCACCAAAGCCCTGCACCTAAGTAGTAGCTAATAATGGGTTAAATCATATATATATTTAAAATAATGCTAGAGTCAATAATCTTATACTTTTCAGATAAGGCATAGATCCAATTTAAGTGACTTTGTGTCTTTAGTCTCTTGTTTGTTCAGTCACTCAAATAAGCATTTATTGAGAACCTTGAGATGGCCCTGAAGGGGTATGTAGTGATTACAGGTATGCTGGCAGATGGTCAGGGGACAAAATCCGTGACACCGAGGAATGTAAGCACCTATCAAATCATACTATATAGGTGGTAAATTTCATTGTTTATGCATAGTGCTCTTCTTAAGTATCACTACTGTATACCCCAGTTTTTCCATCTATTAAATCAGAATAAGTGATATTTGTCATCATTTTACAATTCTCACAAAAAGTGAACACAAAATTTCTTGTCAGTATGGAATCTGTTGCCTTTCCAGAAATATAACTCAAATTCCATCTGTTTCCACTGTTAATAATCAGTTAAAATGCTGACTCAGCTATCTTAACTGTCACATTTATAAGACACCAAAAAAATATATATTCCTGGAATGGGACATCTCCACAATCTATGCCAGTCCCTGAGGACTGGTATGTGCTTGATGTCCAGGCAAGTTATATTATCCTCCAGTATCTGCTCTACCAGATTTTAACTCATGCAAGTACATAGGAACAATGTTATAAAACAAAAACAAAAACACCAGTCTTCTTGAGAACTTTAGTCCCGAAGTTAGGTTTTAGAATTAACCTAAATTCTAAAATTTAACCTAAATTCTAAAACTGGCCAGGCACAGTGGCTCACACCTGTAATCCCAGCACTTTGGGAGGCTGAGACAGGTGGATCACCTGAGGTCAGAGTTCAAGACCAGCCTGGCCAACATGGTGAAACCCTGTCTCTACTAAAACTACAAAAATTAGCCAGCCATGGTGGCAGGCACCTTCCCACCTCAGCTTCCCAAGTAGTGTAATATTATTGACTATAGCATTATTATGAATATATGTATATGATTTAACCCATTATTAGCTACTACTAGTAGTTTTGCTGGACTAGTATCCAGTAGGCTGATGTTTTATGTAGTGAAGATGTAGGAAAATGTCTATAGAGTTTTACAGCCAGGCATGGTCGTGGGTGCTACTCGGGAGGCTGAGGCAGGAGAATCAATTGAACCCAGGAGTTGGCTGCAGTGAGCTGAAGTTGTGCCACTGCACTCCAGCCTGGGTGACAAAGCAGGACTCCGTCTCAGGAAGAAAAAAAAAAGAATTATGGCCAGAATTCATGGCTATGGTATGGAAAGCTTAGTTACTTTGTGAATCTTTGTTTGCTTTCATAATGCCATTAAATCTACTAAGCTACCAAGCTCTGCCCAGATTTCAGTTCTGATGGCCTGTCCTTTATGTCCTCTCTGGATGCAATTTTTTGAGTGTCCTTCAGAAAAAATCACCTTCTGTGAAGCTCCAGGGCCAATGTCCAGGAAAAATTTAGAAACCCAAGGGGAAGGATTAGAGACTAGAGCAATAATGAGAAAAGCGACCAGGCGTGGTGGCTTATGCCTGTAATCCCAGCACACTGGGAGGCTGAGCAGCCTGTAATCCCAGCACACTGGGAGGTCGAGGTGGGAGGATTGCTTGAGTCCAGGAATTTGAGACCGGCCTGGACAATATAGTGAGACCTCATCTCCGTAAAAACAAAACAAAAATTATAAAATTCAGAAAAAAATCACAGAAATCATTTGAAAACAAATGTAAATGAGCAAGTACTTGGTATTAGAATGGAATGATTGATGCAATTGGATGTCAGAGGGTTCAAGTGTGGAGGATTCTGCAGAGATGCAGACTGGGCTGCAGGGAGAAGCCTCTGGAGTGTAACCAGGAACAGAAGGAAGGATGTATTTAGGGAACCAAGTCTAATGTGCCCTCAGGACCAGACAAGCTTGAGAAGAGAAGGGCCTGACACTAAGCTGATAATTTAGCTAGAAAATAAGAGGGACAGAAGACACACAGTTCAGAGTTTGCAGGAAGGTCCTGAGGTAAGGAGTGTGGCATTTTTGAGTGCTCTGAAAGACCAGAGAAGATAGGGATCACAGAAACTGTAGAGAGAGAAATGAAGTAAGTCTGGAGAAGTAGGCAGGAACTAGGGCATTCAATGTCTTCCCTAATAGGTCATGCCAAGTATTCTGGACTGAATCTTAAGAGCAATGGGGAACTTCTAAGTGATTTCCAGGCAGGGGAGAGACATGATTGACATTTATGTTTTTGTTTTTTAACCAGGCTCTCTTTAGATAGCCTGGAGCAAAAAGTGAACAGAGGCCCAGTGGAGAGTGAAGAGGACACAGTCCAAGGAAAATCAGACAGTGGTTTGGACTAGGATTTAAGATGTGAGCAGTTCATAACAGTCAGTGGAGCAGGTGGTAACAGTGAGCAGGTGATAACAGTCAGTGGAAGACAGAATAAAATGCTCAACGCAAGCAGGTCATTGAAGTTAATAGGCCCAAGGACTACTAGATACCCAGGATCATTTGATATGGCTACAGACACAATTAGGACAGATCAGCAGCCTGTGCTTTAGCTGGCAGTTGCTGTCCAGCAAAGCTAGTTTAAAACCACTTTTCTATCCTAGTTAACCACTGAACTAACGTACACGGTTTGAAATGCAGTTCCACTGTGGTTGAGGATAGATGAAAATTGTGATATGGAAGAATTACTCCTAACTGCTTAGGGCACTGGCAGGTATTACTATCAGACCTGTACATGCAGTGCTAGGCAGTAGCTATTACTTTAACTAATTTATGATGGGCTCAGAAATCAGCTAACCAACCGCCTTAGAAAGGTATATAAAATAAAATTAAGAACTTTCTGTGCATGGATTTAGTAACATGTTTTAGTTGCTTGGATCTTTGTTGTTTTGCTTTCTTTCTTGTTCTTGCCTGTTATTTCCATAATTTGGGAGTCAAGACAGAAATCAGAGGAACAAAGAACCTACTAAGGTAGTAGTGGTAGTGTATTGATCACGTATTTTATTTTTGTATTCTGATGCTGTGACAACTGGGGTCTTGCTGACCCTAGAGGGACTGCTTCTCCCAGGGTTAGCCAATTCTTGGAGACCATACAACTTACTCATGAGTGCACATTTCAAATACAAACCAACCAATCCAGAGCCCATACCCCAGCCACCTCTTTTTCAAGCTCTTGCATATCAGGCCATTATCCACTTGTCCTAGTCATCTCAGGACCAGGTACCAGACAACAAGGGACAGCCCCTATGCTACAAAGCCCACTAAAATTATTCAAACTAGCCAATCCTCAACCTGCTCACCCTGCCTCACCTGTTCCTTCCCATGAAAACCACAGGAAGGTTCTTGCCCACAGTTCTTCCTGCTTCTTCTGCCTCCTGATCCCTGTGGCTCCCTAGTGCATGGCTCCCTCTGGCATGGTGTGTCCCCTTCTCTTAGGAGCTATAACAAATTGTTTTTTGGTTTTTTTTTTTTTTTTTTTTTTTGAGACATAAAGTTTCACTCTGTCACCCCGACTGCAGTGCAGTAGCCTGGGTTCAAGCAATTCTCCTGCCTCAGTCTCCCAAGTAGCTGGGATTACAGACATCTGCCACCACACCTGGCTAAATTTTGTATTTTTAATAGACAAGGAGTTTCACCATGTTGGCCAGGCTGGTCTCGAACCTTGACCTCAAGTGATCTCCCTTCCACAGCCTCCCAAAGTGCTGGGATTACAGGTGTGAGCCACCGCAGCTGGCACAAATTGTCTTTTCAATGGCAATCCTGATCTTTGTCCTTACTATACCTCAAAATTTTCTTCTTTTTTTGAGACAATGTCTCACTCTGTCACCCAGGCTGGAGCACAGTGGCGCGATCATGGCTTGCAGCCTCAACCTCCCAGGCTCAAGTGATCCTCCCACCTCAGCCTCCCAAGTATCAAGGACTACAAGGGCACACCACCACATCTGGCAAATGTTTACATTTTTTTTTGCAAAATTGAGATGGGGTTTTGCCATGTTGTCCAGGCTCGTCTCAAACTCCTGCACTCAAGTGATCTACCCGCCTGGGCCTCCCAAAGAGCTGGGATTATAGGCATGAGCCACCACACCTGGTCAAACTTCGTTTAATACACAATATTTTATAATAGGAGAAAATACCAATGCTTTCTCATTCTCTATCTTCTACCTGCACCTGAAGAGATATGTTTTTGTGACTACTGCCAAATAACTTTCCCATGAATAAATTATTCTACATTTAATTTCCTTCTTAAATTAAATCCAGCTGGTTGCGGTGGCTTGTGCCTGTAATCCTAGCACTTTGGGAGGCTGAGGCAGACACATCACTTGAGGTCAGGAATTGAAGACCAGCCTAGTCAACATGGTGAAATGCCATCTCTATTAAAAATACAAAAATCAGCTGGGTGTGATGGTGCACACCTGCAATCCCAGCTACCTGGCTGAGGCAGGAGAATCGCTTGAACCTGGGAGGCGGAGGTTGTAGTAAGCCACTGTACTCCAGCCTGGGTGACAGTGAAACTACATCTCAAAAAAAAAAAAAAAATTAACTCCAAAAGGCAAAGATAATATGGTAATGTAGAAAGAGCACAGAAAAAGTTCTGGCTCTGGCTTCAAATCTTGACTTTTTAAAAAACCTATTACCTAGGGACAGTAATTTCACACCTCTGAAGTTCTATAATCCATCTTTAAAATAAGGGAAAGAGTTTTGACCGAATAGGCTTACTTGAAGCATTAAATAACTTTTATAAAGTAAGTACTCAGTACAGCTAGTAGTATTTTTATATGAGTAACTGATCTTGAATTGTGTCCTGGCCATAATGAGGGCTCAATCAAGTCTAATGATGTCCAAGTTACCGTTCAACTCATTTCCAAAATTACACCATGGGAAACTTTTGTTGGACTTTCCCTGGCTTCTCTTTCTTGGAGGACTGGAGATTTTTTAAAAGAGCCATTCCTAGGAAACGTGTTACTGTTCTTCAATTTGGGATTCAAAGGAGTCAACATTTGGGAGCATTCTTCTATCATTTTTACTCCTAAAGGTGTATGTATCTCAACAATAGTATCAAACTATAGTCTGACAGGGCCTCTTATTTTTGTAAATAAAGTTTCACTGGAACAAAGTCACACCCTTTGCTTATTTGTTGTCTGTGGTTGCTTTTATGCTACAACTATAAAGACCTAAGGTTACATAAAATATGTAACCTCTGTCTCTCTAAGAAAAAGTTTGCTGACCCCTGTTCTTTACTAAGTCTGGTTTCTTTCTGTGGTGGGTTAAAAATGCCCACAAAGTCTTTGCACTAGCCCCATTAAGAGGTAGAGTTGAAGTCCCCTTTGACAATGACTCTGGGCTTGGTCATGACTTGCTCTGGCCAGTAAGACATTAGACAATGCAGCAAATGCAAAGGATTGAAAAGTGTATTCACACTGGGGCTTGCCTTCTTGGAACACTTCCCTGAGATCTCCCAATGCTGGGCGGAAGCCCAATCTCATCTACTGGAAGATGAACCAAGGCACCCTAGTCAAGAGCCAGCACCAACTGCCAGACATGAGAGAAGTAATACTGAACTACCCTAACCCCCAGCCATTAGATGGCTGCATGTGTATGAGGGATCCCACAGAGGAAATAGTCAATTGAAAGAATCTTTTACAAAATTATTACTGTTTGAAGCCACGAGCAATTTGACTTCAGGCCTGAACTGCTTAACATGGGTGACAGAGCAATAACCACCAATGTAAACTACCTTTTCTCTTCGTATCAAAGTCAGCTATATGCAAACTGACTTTGAATAAAAGTCAGAATATTCAGTTCTGACAAGTCCTTATTCATCCTGTGGCACAAACCCACTTCTGCCTTCTGTGTGTCTTTATAAGGCTTTGGGGGATGAATGGGGACACAAGTAAAATAATGAATGTTGGCCATTGCTCTCAAACATTATGAATAAATACAGAATGATACTGCTCCTGCTATAATAGATTTAACCTAGTGCAGTCAATTTCCTATTATCCATAATGGAAGGATGTGATAGCATGGTTGAATCAAATTGAGTATAAAAACCTTAATTTTCCAGAATAGTGGAAGGGCAGTGGACTCCTCACTGGTTGAAGTAAAATTCCAGGTCTGGCAGTGACTGGCTATGTATCTTGAGCAAATTATTAACTTCTTTAAGAATCAAGTTACCTCTCCTACAAAAATGGGAATATTGATACTGCCTTGCATAGATATGAGAATTTGGCATTAAGTCATACAAAAGGGCAGCCTAACACAGTGCCTGGCACCATGAGAAGTAGAGACAGTAAAGTGTTATAGTTATGAATGCAGGTTCTGAAGCCAGATTGCCTGGGTTTAAATCACAGCTTCGGCACTTAGTTGCTGTGTAACTTGGACAAGCTACTTAACCTCTCTATGCCTCTTATCTATAACATGAAGATAACAAAGGCAGTTATCTTAAGAGCTGTTTTGAGGCTTAAATAAATATTATATATGCAATACCCTAAGAACATCTAGTACACAGTAAGCACTCATTAGATATTCGCTGAATGAAGGAAAAATCCCTCATCTGGCAGAAAATAAAGGAGATATTTAATCAACCATTTCCAAAATAAGGTGAAAAAAGATTGTAAAATTCAATGACAAAGGTTTATTAAATGCCAATAATGGCTAAGCACAATTAGACACATTATTATCTCATTAGCTGTATGTGGTACCAAATAGCAAAGCCTGAGAGATTACCACAGATTTTGATGGCCTCATTAATATATTTAATCTGTAGTGATATTCCCTGGATAATATACACAGTTTTATGACCATGTGTCTTCTGTGTCTTTGAAGTCGCTACAGGGCTCTATTTGATGTGAGAAACTGACTGCTGTTTATATCCAGTTATGCAATGTGACATTAGAATCAAAGCAGAAAGTAAGCAAAACAAAATAAGGTGGCTGGTGCAGTGGATTACACCTGTAATCCTAGCATTTTGGGAGGCTGAGGCAGGCAGATTACCTGAAGTCAGGAGTTTGAGACCAGCCTGACCAACATGGAGAACTCCCATCTCTACAAAATTAGCTGGGCATGGTGGCACATGCCTGTAATCCCAGCTACTCATGAGGTTTAGGCAGGAGAATTGCTTGAACCTGGGAGGCGGAGGCTGTGGTGAGCCAAGATCATGCCATTGCACTCTAGCCTGGGCAACAAGAGCAAAACTCTGTCTCAAAAATAAAACTAAAAAAAATTTTTTAATAGGGTTTATGAAGAAAATAATCTTCTAAGAACTAACATGTCCTGGAGATAAAATGCAAATATATCCAGTAATAAGAAGCCCATATTACATTACAGATAAAAGATTAAAATAAGATTCAATCTCCATTTGCAAATCTACAAACTATGAAGAAGGACTAACCCTTGTTCCTGGGATTAGTCACTAAATTTAATGATTACAGCAAATATAATTTTGTGAATTACTGGTGGTTAATAATTAACTTGCAATGAAAACATACTTTAGCTCTCACCCCTTTCATTCCAGCACCCCCCGCCCCCCACAAAAACAAAGAGAACATGAAGAGTGAGGAAAACTTGGAAACAGGAGCTCGTGTGTGCTTGATTCCTTAGGAGGAGGAATACTTTCTTTTAATATAGGTTTTCTAGTATCAAGTACATCAGTTAAGCTAATCAAGTACTTTGTGTTCTGTATATAAATAACATCATACAAGAGTCTATGGCAGTTAAAAATCTGGTTCCGATCAGAATTCCTTAAAATACTGTCTTCTTTTTTATTACAATTGCCCTTTTGGATGTGAGTGCTGGTCTCAAAAAGATATACAGTTAAAAGAGGAACAGCAAAAGGGACTTACACCAAAATAGCAGCCAACTCTAAAACTATTGTAGGTGAGAGGTAGAGAGCTTCATATCTCAATCTTCTAGGTGACGTTAGAAAAATACTTTAACATGAAAATCACCTACAAATATTCCTTCACTTTCATATGCTGAGCAGTTTCAGCTTAGAGTGACTAAGTCTTATTTATCTCTGTATCTTCAGCACCTAGCACATAGTATGCACTCATTAACTATTTGCTGAATGAAGGACAAAACCCTCATCTGACCAAGGATAAATTTCACTAAAATTGACTATAATAAAATCTTTATGGGCTCCACATGAAACTATGTGAACTCCACTTCCCCACATACTTGACAGCCTAGATGGCTCTTATGCTCTTTCATTTCTTTAAATGTATTTTAAAAATTGCTTATTTACACGATAAAAACAATGTCCACCACAAAAAACTCGTCTCTACTTTAAAACTATTGGAATTAGTCTCAGAATAACTCATCTGTATTTGATATGAGATCATTCTCAGATTGTTCTGTGGAATCTCCCAATTCCAATAATCATGCTTGCAATATCCTTTAGCTGTCTATCAGTTCTCCTCGTCTTTATTCAGGCCCAAAGAGAGAAGACTGAAGTAGACTAAGATAAAATGGATAGTTTGTGTATTCATCTAGGGAATATATTCAAGACATAAATATCAGACCGAAAGGTGACCTCTGCAGCAGACTAAGTCTGATCAGAGTTAAGTTAGCTTCCCTCTCTGAGCCTGGATTTTTCTCATCTCCAAGACAGATTCATCCTAGAATCTCTCTGGTCCTTTTTAGGTTCAACGTTCTATGATTGGTTCTCAGTTAATAGAAGCACAAACTGAAACACTCACTAATCATACATTTTGCTGGAGGTTGATCAATCCTTAGCAAATCCGGAGGAAATGAATGTTCTACTTTGTGCAGAAGCTCTGAAAGCTGGGCTCTAAAGGCCCAAGTTTTTTGTTTTTGTTTTTGGCTGAAGCAATGTATGTCATTTAATAACTGAAATAGTGTCTGAGTTTAAATGCCATATAACATTTTCAACTGAGGCTGCACACCAGAATCACCCAATGAACTTTATTTTACTGCTGCCTGAGTCCCACCCTCAGAGGTTCCTTTTAACTGATCTGTGTGTAGCCTGGGCATGAGGACATTTACAAGCTCTCCAGATGATTCTAACCCAAGCAAAGAGAATGATGATTGGCATAGAGCAATGAATCTCAAATTTTAGCATCAATCAGTCACCTGGAGGGATTACTAAAACGCAGATTGCCAGATGTGATGTCACACTCAGACTAGGTCTGGGATCTTGCTTTTCTTTTCTGAGAACTTGCTTTTCTTTTCTTTTCTTTTTTTTTTTTTTTTTTTTTTTTTGAGACAAGGTCTCACTCTATTGCTATAAGGCTAGAGTGAAGTGGCACAATCATGACTCACAGCAGCCTCAATCTCCTGGGCTCAAGTGATCCTCCCATGTAGCTGGGCCTACAGGTGTGGGCCACCATGCTTAGTTAATTCGTTTGACTTTTAGTAAAGACAGGGTTTCGCCACATTGTCCAGGCTGGTCTCAAACTCCTGAGCTTGAGTGACCTGCTTGCCTAGGCCTCTTAGAGTGCAGGGATTACAGGCATAAGCCAGCATGCCCAGCCTATGAACTTGCTTTTCTGACAAGTTCCCCAGTAATGCTGATGCTTTTGTCCTAGCTTTGAAAACCACTACCAGTGAGAGAATATCACTGATGCTGGAACGTGAAGTCCTGAGTTTAAATCTGATTCTATTATCACCACCTATATCATCCTAGCAAAGTAATTTATTCTCTCATCTTTAGTCTCTTTCTGACAACAGTTAGATCCCAGAGTTGTGAGGCATGAACTAGGCATGCCATAGTGATAGTGTACTAATCAGAGTTTGGTCCAGTCCCTGGCACAGAACATAATAACAAATATTAACTTCCTTTTTCCATTATACATGGCTAGATGGTACAATTAAGTTAAATCAATAATACATTAATACATGAAGTTAAATCAATAATACATTAATACATGTATTATTAATAATTCAATAATACATGAAGTTAAAACTTCACAGGAAAAGAAAGTACAGATAGTTGAAGCAAACAATCTTATTTTATATACGTAATACAGAGTGATAAATATAGAGAAATGTTTTAAGTACTTAAAAATATCTTTTTTCAATTTTCAAAACTTTGAGTGTAATAATTTAGGTAGCAGAAACATTAGATACAATCTGTAGAAGAAGTATTAGACTCAATATATAAAGAACATAAATTTTTTTACAACCTATAATGGATTCTGATACCTCATGTATAATTTTAGTTTTCTACAGAATCAACAGTATAATCAGTGTAATGCTTAAAACTGTATTACACTGATCTTAAATGCTATTTAATTTCTGAGAAAACCTAAGTTATAAGAGTACATCAGAATCCCTATTATCAATGAAAGCAAAACTTCTACCGATGATGGAAGAGGATACTTTTAAAAAAAATTTACATATACCAACAAGCAAAAAACTAGAGCTTTCATTCCTGTTTGTCCAAACCATGAAGTGATCCTGGGAGGTAAGCAGTTTTGCTGCAGAAGCCACTATACATACCTTCAGAAATAGGAAGGGTACGAGGCTGCGCCCTGCCAGTGTGGCTGGTTGGAGTAAGATCTAGAATACTGTCAGTGTTTTCCTGTGGAACCTACAATGAGTCCGGTTGTCTAAGTGAGTCTCAAAGGCATTAGGTCAAAAGGCACTTTGTCAGGACTGTTTAAAGCAAGTTCCTCCTTATACCAGTAGTTGACCCAGAGGCAAGGTCTTACTGGACCTTTAAAAGCCTTCCCTTTCCAATCTAGCCTGATGCCATTGTGTGACATCTTTTTTTCCCTGAATTCCTAAAAGAAAATGTGATGATTGTCTGTATATCTTCTTTGTTGCTGCATTGTGTTTTGTATGGTATCCTTTTATAACTGTTTTCAAAGGTTACCTAACTTCTCACCTATTTATGAATTCTCTTAACTAGCCTTAACTTGAGCTCCTCAAGGGTCTTTGACTTGTCCCTTTCCTCCACGTAACTTTCTCAAATGCCCCAGTTCTCAGTAACTTTTCTCTTTTGCTGTCTGTAATATAAACATGACCCCTACTTACACTGTCTTTCCTATGTGGCCAATAAGAGTGTTCTCTTCCCAGTTAGATCCCAAAAGCCCTATGGGATGGAGGATACACACTGCACTTCTTTGTAAAAGTGTCTTGACAAAGCTGATGTCCAATCAACATTTGTTTAATTACTAGACTGTCCAAAGCTAGAAATGAAATATAACTGATTGACTGAGTCCTCATAATCTTGCTATCAAAATTATATAAGGCCTATAGTAGGCCAATATATTTGGATAATGGAAATTATTTTCTTAAGAAAATTCAGCTACCCATAGTGCTTAAAACCAGCCTTAAAAGAACATGAACAGGACGGTTCCCACCTTATTGATATCACTGGCATTCTGTAATATCCATTTATTCATATCCTCCTCCTAGGCTACATGAAACACGTATCAAATTTCCCTACCTCCTAAAGCAAACAAAACTCTCTTCCTCCCTCTTGCTGCAAAAAGGTTTAGCCATATGTAGTGTATAGAGCTTTTCAAAAATACTAGCAATCCATGCCCTCTCATTTTAACTAAATCAGAAGCAGAGTTGATGTGACACCCATCTTGCCAGGGAGGCAGTTTCTTCTCTCAGGTTTGTTACTAGAAACCAAAGACAGCCTGAGAGAATTCAGGTACCACCTTGGAGGCACTACCTTATCATTTGTCCTTTTAGAGTTTTCTTACTGGAGTTGACTCCAGCACTATAGCCCTTACCACAATCCTTCCACCTGGTTCTTTTTTTTTTTTTGAGATGGAGTCTTGCTCTGTCGCCCAGGCTGGAGTACAGTGGCACGACCTTAGCTCACTGCAACCTCTGCCTCTTGGGTTCAAGCGATTCTCCTGCCTCAGCCTCCCGAGCAGCTGGGACTACAGGTGTCTGCCACCATGCCCAGTTAATGTTTTGTTTTAGTAGAGATGGATTTCACTGTATTAGCCAGAATTGTCTTATCTCCTGACCTTGTGATATGCCTGCCTCAGCTTCCCCAAGTGCTGGGATTACAGGCATGAGCCACGATGCCCAGCCCCACCTAGTTCTTTAACAAGACTGTGAGATATCAAAAAAGTCACTAGAGCAGCCCAGAGATATGTAAGATTTACCTTTACACCTCAAAGTTTCTTAGATATGAGTCTCGCTAGATTATGACAATTTATCTTATGATAACTCACTGTAGTCAGTTATTATTAGAAATATTGTTCTTCTAATAAGATTTTTAATTAGTCGCTTCAGTTATTTATTTATTTTTTTTAAGTAGAGATGAAGTTTCGCTATGTTGCCCAGGCTGGTCTTGAACGCCTGGACTCAAGCAATCTCCCACTTCAGCCTCCCAAAGTGCTGGGATTTACGGGCACGAGCCACCACACCCAGCCTCAGTGGTTTTTTTAATAAATGAGACTTACAACATCCTCTTATAAGGCTCACTCCCTTGCGCCTATTACATTTGCTCTGTATCTCTTTAAATTCTTCAGTTAAGATCATCCCTTTTATCAGAAACCTAGAAACCACAAAGTAGCTTTCTCATGAGCTCTTTAGTTCTCCATGGCTATCAATATTATACTATAATATTTGCATATGTATGTGTATGTATGTATTTGCTTTTTAAAAAAAGTAAAAATGCTCTTCTCACTCTCCTTGTCTGATATAGGCACCCAGGTATGTAGTTAGAAATTAAATAAAGGCCATAATAATTTCCCAAGGAAGATCATTAAAAAGAAAAATCCCTTCTTCCTCTAATATTACATAGCTGGCCTTTATGTGATGCCAGCTAAGAAAAGAGGTATCGCCTATGGTGAGAGGAAGACTGAATCTTTCTCTCTTTGGGTTATAGCTGAATTTCTATTGAAAGTCCTAGTAAAATACGTAACTTCTCCTTTGTTCTAAGCAAGTGTTTTCTTCAGTTTTCCTTCAAACAATACCTTTACTTTCCCATTAGGATATGAAGAATTGGAGATTCTGAACAGCAAGGTTTGGGGTGGGTATCAGTCACTTCAAATCATGTGCTGGCTACACAAAGGGAAAGACATGGCAGCATAGCAGGGGTGAGTGAAATGTTATCTTCATTGGGAGCACTGAAAGAGAACAAGTTTTTCAAAGTTGTCGCCGGTATCTCATGAAAGCCCATGCTGCTACCACAGTGAGGGCAAACAGTGGCACCAGCACCATAAATATGGGAATACCACTTGGGTCCCCTTCACCTCGATGTCCTACAGGTCCATTCTGCACCTGTAACTGGAAGGGAAAGAAAAACGTTAACTCTAGTGACTAACATGTGTTTACAACTGAAACACCCAGGTTGATACATCACCTGGGTTTGTAGACTATAGCCCACCCAAAGCTGTGTCCCCCAGCAATACCTAGCAGAAGGAGTCCTCTCTTTGTCCTGAGCTGATGCATCAGTGTCACAGGATCTTTGGAAAGAAAATAGGTCTGATGGGGAAGCATTTAACCTTGCTGACCTAAAGCGTCTCCTGAGGGCAAATCAAGTAATTTCTGTTTCTGTACTGCCTGTACCTTGCTTATCGTATCAGGAAAATGAAGACATGAGATAAAACCTATGATCCTATAGGGAACTTGGATACTACTTGGTGAGGAAGAAGGGGGATCTTTCTGGAAATGTCTATTTCAATAATCAGTCATCAAAATGTAGTAAGAGCAGATCTGGGCAATGTCAACGTAGGTGCAATGCCAACATAGGTGCAATGCCATTACTTGAAAAATGCTTTCCAAATCCCAGAAGGCACCCAACTCCCTCCAAAGATGGGGTTTTGCCCTTCATCTGCTCATTTCTAATACTAGAGAGAGATGAAGGTGAATCTATCTGGAATAGATGTAAAAAAGTAAAAAGAAATTATATTCTAGTGGTTATAATTTTCTATTGCCTAAGTGTTTCCTTTGAGGCTGGATGGTCTTTATTTTGGTGATGGTTTTCAAAGTGGCTCTTCTTAATATCAACTTTTAGTGGCTAACTTGCGATAATTATGGCACCATCGTATTTCAGTTAGTTAACTTCCTCATTACAATTCATAAAACTCTGACCCTTCAATCTGAAAGGCAAGACTGCACAAAACACCATTATACCCTCTATTCCACCTCTAGATTTTTCATTCATTTGCTGATGAGCTGTCTTGAGAGGATATAATCAATAGGAAGACATGGTTTTTTGGGCTAGGCCAATTCCTTGAACAGAAGGGTCTTTTTTATTAGGAACTGTTTATGGATGTTTCCTTAAAAGTAAACACTGGAAATAACTTTCCACATACCTTCCAAAACAACAGTAATCATATTGAAGTGTGTGCCTGTATTTACTTGTCTTTATCTACACCACAAATTCTCCCATGCTTTAGAAAGACAAGAGCCAAGGCAGAAGCAACTGATGACCAATATTATTTCTTATTCACCTGTTTTCTAATCCATTACACCCAGATGCTGCTTGCAACTCTGGTTGTTTTCTCAGGTATCTTTCACATTCTGTTTTCTCTACTCCTTTAATAACTCCTCTCAGTCTTCTTAAGCTTCTAAATCCTTAGCCACTGAGTGAGGAAAACAGTGCACCAATTTAAGAAGTAGCAAATTGATTACTTAATTTAAAGGCACATGGGACCTGTGTTGTGAATATACTCAGAAAGTCTCAGTGCTATAAGAGGAATTACATCTACCCAGGATTCCCTTTACAACATCATCCAAATTATAAAACACTAAGAAATAAGAAACAGATGCAGGGATAGGTGCTGCCTTGATGAAATTCCATTTCCTTTTTCCTGGAACTCTTCTATAAACACTAAAGCTTTGGTTAAGAGGGTCACCAAAGGCCGGGCGCAGTGGCTCACGCCTGTAATCCTAGCACTTTGGGAGGCTGAGGTGGGTGGATCACAAGGTCAAGAGATCGAGACCATCCTGGTCAACATGGTGAAACCCTGTCTCTACTAAAAATACAAAAAATTAGCTGGGTATGGTGGCTCGTGCCTGTAATCCCAGCTACTCAGGAGGCTGAGGCAGGAGAATTGCCTCAACCCAGGAGGCAGAGGTTGCGGTGAGCCAAAATCGCGCCATTGCACTCCAGCCTTGGTAACAAGAGCAAAACTCCATCTCAAAAAAAAAAAAAAAGAGGGTCACCAAATTGATAAATGAAGGGTTCATGGCAGTGACAGGCAAAAGCAAACAGTGGGTATTAGAAAACCCACCATCTTTGTAGTTAAGAGTTTTATCAAATGGTTTATAAATGAATTTTCTTTTTCTTTTATTTTTTTTTTAAAGGAGTGAAGGAGAGGAAGAAAAAGGAAGAAAAAGAGGGAGAGAGAAGGGAAATGTTGCTTTATTCTAAAAAAAAAAAATGGGTATTAATAATGGCCAATGTTTCATTTAAACCTATGAGTAGGTGTGATGTGGTATTGACAAGAATGTATATTTTGTGTATTTGAAGTGGAGAGCTCTATAAATATTTATTAAGTTTACTTGTTCTGGATCTGAGTTCGAGTCATTGATATCCTTATTAATTTTCTGTCTCGTTGAGTCTAAGTCTCTTTATAGGTCTTATGTATCTGGGTGTTAGGATCATTAGCTCTTCTTGTTGCATTGATCCTTTTACCACTATATCTTTGTTGCTTTAAAATCTATTTTATCAGATACGAGAATTGCAACTCCTGCTTTTTATTTATTCATTTATTTTTGCTCTCCTTTTGGTTGGTAAATCTTTCTCCATCCCTTTGTTTTGAGTCTTTGTGTATCCTTGCAAGTGAAATGGGTCTGGATGTAACATGCCGTTGGGTTTTGGCTGTATCTTTTTTTTTTTTTTAAATATATATTTTATTTTTTGAAAATATTTTGAAAGTAATTAAGATCCCTGATTGGAAGGGGGAAACAAATCAACACAATGAAATTTAGGAACAGAAATGCAAGAGCAGCTGCTGCATCCGGCCCCTTCCACCCGAAGGGCACAGCCAGGAGATGCTCATTTTATGATCCCAAGTGGACGCTGGGGTCCACACAGAAATCACTTAATTACCAGCCTTCTGGTGGAAGGACCCTGCCCAAAGTCAGGGTCAGAAATAGGACAGCTCATCGTGCTTGGCTTTGTTGGTCTGGTAGTTAGACAAGGTCAAGGGCTTGTTTTCGTGAGGGAGACTTTGGAATACTCGCAAGTGGACAAATTACTCATCACTGACATGCACCTTGATGAAGTAGTTTGTCCCCGCAACCAGCCGGCTCCTGAAGGACACAGCCTCGAACACGGAGAACTTCTTGTTTTCTTTTTCTTCAAGCTGGGACCTCACCTGGTCAGCGATGTTCTGGGTCTCGGCGGTGGCTGGCTGCACGGCGGAAGCCACCCCGCGCATCATCGTGGCGACAGCAGAGGGACTCGGCGAGGGGACTGGGCCTGGCTGTATCTTTTGATTGGGGGATTTAGTCGATTTAAATTTAGGATTATTGCCATTTGATGTTAACTGGCTGTTTTATCCATTCGTTGATGTAAATTCTTCTTTATGTTGATGCTCTTTACTTTTTGGTAAATTTTTAGAAAGATTAATACTGGTTGTTTCTTTCTATGTGTAATGCTTCTTTCAGAAGCTCTTGTAAAGCAGGCCTGGTGGTAATAAAATCTCTGAGTACTTGCTTGTTCGTAAAAGATTTTATTTTTCCTTCAGTTGTGAAGCTTAGTTTGGCTGGATATGAAATTCTGGGCTGAAAGTTCTGTTCTTTAAGGATTTTGAATATTGGCCCCTACTCTCTTCTGGTTTGTAGAGTTTCTGCTGAGAGATCTGCTGTAAGTCTGATAGGCTTCCCTTTGTAATTAACCTGACCTTTATCTCTGGCTGCCCTTAGTATTTTCTCCTTCGTTTCAACCCTGGTGAATCTAAGATTATGTGCCTTGGGGTTGCTCTTCTTGAGGAATATCTTTGTGGCGTTCTCTGTATTACCTGGGGTTGAATATTGTCCTGCTTTGCTAGTTTAGGAAAATTTTCCTGAATAATATCCTGAAGAATATTTTCCAGCTTGGATTCATTCTCTCCGTCGCATTCAGATACACCTATCAAATGTAAATTTGGTCTTTTCACATAGTCCCACATTTCTTGGAGACTTTGCTCATTCCTTTTTATCCTTTTTTCTCTAATCTTGTCTTCTCGTTTTATTTCATTAAATTGGACTTCTACCTCTGATATCCTTTCTTCTGCTTGAACAATTTGAGTGTTTAAACCTGTGCATACTTCTCGGAGTTCCTGCATTGTATTCTTCAGTTCCATTAATTCACTTATATTCCTAAGTTGTCTATTCGCATTAGGATTTCATCAAACCTTTTTTCAAAGTTCTTAGTTTCTTTACATTGGGCTGCAACAGTTCTTTTAACTCACAGAAGTTTCTTATTATCCATCTTTGGAAGCCTGATTCTGTTAATGGGATGCGCTCATTCTCCATCAAGCCTTGTTCCCTTGCTGATGAGGAACTGTGATCCTCTTTAGAGGGAGAGGCATTCTGATTTTGAGTATTCTCAGCCTTTTTATGCTGGTTTCTTCCCATTATTGTAAATTTATCCACCTGCCTTCTTTGTAATTACCAACTTTCAAATTAGGTCTCTGAGTGGACGTCCTAGTTGTTAATTCCCAGGGCCAAAATATGAGCAACCCAACTGTGCCGGCCAAAACAGCAGCGTTAAGACTGATGGTGCTTTTCTGCCCGGGAATCTCCAGTCTGGCTTCCTTCTTGAGTCCGTAATAGGCAACTCTGCCTTCCCGGAGCTCCAAACCTCAGTCAGAAGGGGAACCAGTCCCGTTTACTCTGCACCAAGAGCTGCTGCGCCGAGGTACCAGCACAACCGCTGCACTGGCCACAAGAGTCGCGCTGGTGACCCGTGTGGCTCCTCCAAACCTTGGTCAGAAGGGGAACCAGTCCCGTTTACTCTGCACCGAGAGTTGCCACACCGAGGTGCCGGTGAAACCGCTGCGCCGGCCACAAGAGTCGCGCTGGTGACCCGTGTGGCTCCTCCAGACCTCGGTCAGAAGGGGAACCAGTCCTGTTTACTCGGCACCGAGAGCAGCCGTGCCGAGGCGCCGACGAAAACGCTGCGCTGACCACAAGAGTCGCGCTGGCGACCCGTGGAGCTCCTCCACTGGGAATCTTCTGCTCTGTGAGCGACCAAAATTTGTCTGAAAGTGTGGCGTCCTCTCGTTGTCTGAGCTTTCGCTGGGAGCTGCAATCCCGAGATGTTAGTGATCGGCCATCTTGGATCATTCCCCGGTTTATAAATGAATTTTCAAGGGTAGACATATGGTTCCTTCCCTACCAAAAAGTAAAATCAGCTATGTTTTTTTTCCACCATCTTTTTAAAAATTAATGAATTTATTTATTTGCCTTTGGTTCATGTGACTCTTAAAAATTTTTATGTATTTATTTTTATTATTATTTTTTAAAGAGATGAGGTCCCTCTGTAAACCATCTATTTTAATTTGGTTGTCAAGCTTTATCTTTAAGGCATATTACCTTGAAGTGAGGACCTGGGTTATAAGCCATACTGTTGTGAATTTTTCTTTTTTCTTTGAGACAGGGTCTCACTCTCTTGCCCAGGGTGGAGTATAGGGGTATGATCTTGGCTCACCACAACCTCCACCTCCTGGGTTCAAGCAATCCTCCCACCTTAGCCTCCTGAGTACCTGGGACTAAAGGTGTGCCGAAAAATTTTTGTATCTCATGTTGACTATGAACAGCCCATACAACTTCTACTATAAAACTACTACTGTGACTGACATTTTTATATTTTTAGTAGAGAGGAGGTTTTGCCATGTTGGCCAGACTGCTCTACTCCTGGCCTGAAAGGATCCACCTGCCTTGTCCTCCCACAGTTGGGATTACAGGCATGAGCCACTGCACCTGGCCTGAACTTCCTTCAATGATAAGCAGAAGTACCAATAGACCCCTTCCTTTGCCTGAGAAACTCTTGAAAGGAGTGACGGTAAAACAAACAAGAAGCAACACTAAAGATGACACACACTGGGTTTATTCAGAAGTGCAGTGCAAAAGCCTGGTGCCAGGTTTCTGGCTTGAAGTGATACCTACCCTGTGCTGCACTCTCAGAGACACAGCATAGCCTGCATTACGAAAGAGGTCTACAGCATCTTGGTGCAGCAGGTTCTTTAGGTCTTGGCCATTTACCTGTCAAAACAGCAAAGAAGAGTAGTAAGAAAGGCAGAAGGCTATTACAAGCCAACAATTTATTTTCAAATAGCCAAACTTTAAATAACAAACTCCTTCAGAGCCAATTGCAAAGACTAGGAGCATGGGCAAAGTTACTTAGAACTCAGAACTTTTTTCATTTTCAAACTATGTTTTCCTAGGACTGAAGTTCCACAGGCCATCTGAAGAGATAAAAACTTGTCTCTCCTTTCTCTTAGCTTCTATGCCTGTCTCATTTTGACACTTGGGAATCTGTTACTGTATTACTATTTCTTCCATGAGCATTAACCTGCTTCCCTACAGATAGCATGATCTTCCAGGTTACCACCCTATCCTTTATGCTCCTAAGCCCTGGCATTGCCAGCTACAACTCTAGAAATGTAACTCTATCAAACTGTCTGCCAATTTATTTTGATGTGGTATAAATCTACACTAGCCCATTCTATTGGGCTTTTCATAGTGATCAACTTCCCTTGATTCCACAGATACACCTATCCGTTACATCTGACTTAGTAGTCATTTTTATCAAAATTTTCTAAAAACCACATTCCTGTGATGATATTAAATCCTTAAAAAATTTCAATGTAGGTCACTCCTACCACTTAGAGGTGAGAGATGTGAAGGAATACTGGTATTAATACTTTCTGCTGTTAAAGTGACACTAGCTACAAGTAATAATCCATCCTATACTGTATTCAGTGGCACAGCACAGCCCACTTAGTGCAAGATTACATATCTTTTATACATGTCAATGTCTTCATTAACAGCAATGGCAGCAAGAACGTCTGAAATATGAATTTTCATAGGCTCTGTACTTTACATATGTTATCTAAGTTAATTCTCATGATAACCCTATGAGGTAGACATTATTTTTATCTTGTTTCCACAGACGAAGAAATGAAGCTTATTGAGATTCATGCTGCAGCTAGGGCTAGGATATGTAAATAATAAAAGAGAAAGATGAGAGTGCCCTTGCATTTCACTGTTCCTTCTGCACTATTATTCTTCCATCTTGATTCAGCAACTGTCCTCTGCTCAGCTGATGCTCAAGTCACTTATTCAACTCTCTCATTTTCGTTGTCACAATCTTCCTTCTCCAAGGCATTCGTAATCTTCCCTCTACTCTATCTCTTTTTTTTTTTGAGACGGAGTTTCACTCTTGTTACCCAGACTGGAGTGCAATGGCATGATCTCGGCTCACCGCAACCTCTGCCTCCTGGGTTCAGGCAATTCTCCTGCCTCAGCCTCCTGAGTAGCTGGGATTACAGGCACGCACCACCATGCCCAGCTAATTTTTTGTATTTTTAGTAGAGACAGGGTTTCACCATGTTGACCAGGATGGTCTTGAGCTCTTGACCTCATGATCCACCCGCATAAATCTACCGACACTTCTGCCCTATAGACTGTCTACCTTTGTTAACCAATAGTTTCCAACTCAATTCTACTTCAGTTACCAATTGACATAAATTTAGACTTCAATATTAGACATGCTTCAGCTCCAATATCTCAAACTCTTAAAAACCTGACCACAATTTCCACTCTTTTCACACTTTATATTCATCTACAGAATTTCCTCCTTGACCTCATAAAAGTCTTTGACCTTTTTAAACTTTACTTGCATGTTTGCCCATCTAGGAGTCCCTGTTGTAATTTCAAGAAAGCACTTGGTAAATCATTAGAATCCTTTGTCCCCATGATCTTCCACCACCTTTCCAGTCCTGGGCCATATTCCGCAACACTTTTCTTGCCATCATCAGATTCATCTTCCTAAAGTACAATTCTGTTAGTACCACTTTACTGCTCAAAAAAACGAAAAGAAAATTGGGGGGCAAGGAAAGAGTACATATCTCGTTTCTTATGCTGATATGGAGAGTCTTCTAGGGAATGGCTCTAACCTGTCTTCTCATGTCCGTCTTTCACAGGATCCTTTCCTATAGCCTATACTCTAGCTCAGTCACATAACTCACGGACTGGGACATAAAACATATTTTTTACCTTTATACCTGTGCTCAAACTGTATCTACCACCTGAATGCCCTTCCCTCTTAAAAAATTCTATTTATCTTCTAAGACTGATTTTAATAAAGGATTAGTCCTGCTACCTACAGTGTAGAAATGAATACAGAGTTTTCTACACTGTAGAAACTTGAGAGACTTTAATTTCATGTTATGCCTTGGTTTTCTTTGTAGATATGCTGTAGGGAAAGAACTTCAGGATTTCTATAACTATTACAATAAATTTTCAATGACTCAGTTTTCTGCTTAACTCCTAGGAGACAGAATAGGTGTGAGATTGCTGACTGTCATGAGAATGCTCACCTAAGTAATCCAGCCCATGTGATAACTCTTAACTTCTCATTATAAAGAAGTAAGTATTTTCTCTAAAGGCAGACAAATAAGTTAATGATGCAGTCATGTCAATGAATGCCAAATGATGTCACAGCTCAATATGAGAGTCAAGGTTTCACAGTAATATAAATGCAAATGAAATAACTGAGTCACTACATTAAATGGTAGAAATACTGGGCTTAAAATAATCTTTGCCATAGTAGTCAGTAATGATTGCAGAGAATTACTGAACATTACCATGTCTGGAGCTGTCTATTCATCTTATATGTATTAACTCATTTAGCCTTCACAGGAGTTCTGTAAGTTAGGAAGCCCTATTTCATAAACAATAAAACCGAAGTGTAGAGGCTATCAACTTGTCTGTGAGCACATAGAATGAAAGCCGCAAAGCCAAGGATTCACACTCAGGCAGGCTGGCCCAAAAGCCTTCACTTTAAAACACGAACCTATATGAATTTACATGGCAAGCAAGGATTTTATTTTAGCAACATATTATTGCCTATCACATTTATGCTGTAAATTAAATTTTTACTCGTTTTGCCATTTTGTTTGTATTTAATGTTACACATTTTAAAAATGTTAGTTTAATAAAAACAAGTTATTTATATATTAATTTTCTATTCATTTGTATATATTGAAGTAGCATTAAAATTAAAAAAAAAACAAACAATTTAGTTAGGTGCCACTTCATTGTCAAGGTCTTTGTAGATAACTTCACTAGAAATGACTGATTTACTTCTTTGAATACTCTGTAACTCTGAATCCTACGCAACTATATATTTTGAATACTATGTAACTCTCTTCAAGTCCAAATAGAACTCTGCCTGATATGGCTTTACATTCTATTGTAACTTCAAGATGTATCTCAGCTGATCATTAATGCTACAATATCTAAGAGAACTTTGTACACTTGAGCATAATAAACAGCACATGCTTTCCTGAGGTTTGGCTGCAGAGTGCACCCTGAGAAAGCCAAAAATACACAGAGCCTGACTGACATAATCTCAGTATTACATAAAGCTGAAAGGTTTGGACTCTAACAGTAGCTTTACCTGCCAATGATTCAGTGTGTAATCTTGCCCCTCATCTGAGTCTCCTTCTGCTATCAGGGAAGAAGACAGTGGTACATCAGGCAAAAGAAGGTGTTATAAAGGGCATAGGCCAGTTAAGCCAATTATGCCTTTCAACCCTCCTACTTAAGCCTAAAAGTAGTCTAATATAAGAGAAGTTACTCTAATGACACTTTAAAACCCCAAGTAAGAGACCTTTTAGAAATGCAAAGGTAATTCTTCTTTAAATAACCATTTCTCTTGGCCAGCTCGGTGGCTCACACCTATAATCCCAGCACTTTGGGAGGCCAAGGTGGGTGGATCACGAGGTCAGGAGTTTGAGACCAACCTGACCAACATGGTGAAACCCTGTCTCTACTAAAATTACAAAAACTTAGCCAGGCATGGTGGTGAGCGCCTGTAATCCCAGCTACTTGGGAGGCTGAGGCAGGAGAATTGCTTGAACCCAGGAGGCAGAGGTTGCAGTGAGCCGAGATTACGCTACTGTACTCCAGCCTGGGTGACAGAGCAAGGCTTTGTAAAAAAAAAAAAAAAAAAAAAAAAAAAAAAAAAAGGAACGATTTCTCATCCTCTATGCAAGGTAAACCAGCCCCTAAAACATGATCCTGACCTTCTCCCTTGACAATGTCATTTCTACTCCAAAACTGAATTTGCTCTCCAATACTGACATCCTCTAAACATGTTTAGATTCCAGCTGCTCAGAGACTAACCACCAAGCTCTGTAGATTTTACCCTTCAATATCTGTGAAATCCACTCTTTTTGTTACCATTTTTACTAACATAGACAAATGATTCTCAAAGTGTGGTCTTATGACCAGCTGTCTTGGCATCACCTGGGAACCTGTTAAAAATGCAAATGTTTAGGCCTCATCCTAGCTGCGCTTTAACAAGCCTTCAAGGGGATTCTCAAGTCTGAGTCAGTTCTAACCAGCCTGCCTGAAACAGCCTTTTAACTGGTCTCCACTCCCAGACTACTTTCCCTATTTAACACATCCCTTTCTACCTATCCCTTGCATGTACAGATTTCATTAGTACTTTTCTATTCACTGCAGTAGTAATGTTTCAAATATTGTGAAATCAATCCAGTGGGTCAAGACCAATTGTTTAATTTTTGAAAAGTGAAATCAGAAGAAAACAAAATATCAAAATTCATATAGAAAAGTATTGTTAAAACTTTCGCTTCAAATACACACACATATTCCTCTTTGATGAAGAGGAAATGCATGTCGCCCCTCTTATAGGTCATAATTTAAAAGGTTTGAAAAACACTTGCCTACAGCAGTAATTCTCAAACTTTACTGTGCACAGGTTCACCAAGGGATCGTATAATGCAGAGTTTGATTCTGTAGGTCTGAGGAGGGCCGAGATTCTGCATTTCTAACAAGCTCCCAGGCGATGGCCAGACTGCTGGTCCTTGGACCTCACTTGGAGAGCTACTCAGCTCAGTAATCCCAGAATTAACTTGCTACTTTAGCTTCCTTAACTCATGACATAACAAGGTTTACTGAACCTAAGACATGCAGATTTGCAACGTGCTAGAAAGTTTTGCTGACTGAAGTTT